AAACCGGGGAAGCCCCCGGAGGAAAACTCCGTGATGCCTAGACCACGGCCTTGACCAACACAAGTTATAAATTCGGGCACCGCCGGGAATCGAACCCGAGACCCCCCAAGATTACAAGGCCAGCGTTCTAACCGCTAGACCACCGTGGCTTATGGAACACTGTAGTCTCAGGGATTAGGGCTGACCAATGGGGAAAATGAGCCATATAAATTAAATGTTGTATACTTGAGGAAAAGACACGTGACATTCCGAACGCATTATGGGAGCGGAGGACGGTCGTGTTTTGTTCCATTATCAAATCTACTAGTGGCTGCCTATTAGACCTTGACGTAAGCCAAGATTTGACTCCGCGAGCTTTTACCATTGACGACAAAGCAGTTTGCGTATTTTGAACAAGTTCCAACACATCTCGGGCGGAACTACCAAACGTTCAACATTTATCTTATTTAAATAACGGCTGGTGTTGTAGTTTGTGTAGGAAACGCGCCTAACATAGTTTTGGAGTATATTCACTGGAATAAATAAAACAAAAGGTTCCAAGTTTGTTAAAATGTTTTCTTTGAAATTTGAACCCTCTTTCTTGTACATCAGAGCTAAATTTAACTGGAATGTAGGGAGTAACGAGGCAGCGTGGGTTACACAAAGACTAAAAACGCTGCAGTGGGTTAAATCTTCAGCCTGGAAACAAGGCTTGTTAGTTTCAGGTACAGACAGTTTCACATAACATATTCCCGCTTGTCAGAACTGTTTGTATTTCGAAAGAATTGTACCTTCTCCGGACCTTTAATTTTATCCAAAAGTTTTGTTTATGAATCCCGACACATATCAGGTAAGACAAACCGATTACACCATCGCCCTGTTGCCCCGAACAGGTTACTCTTACGCGGTTTCGCTATCCGCGTTTTAATATATCCGCTGTTTTGATTTCAGTGTCACGAGAAGCGTTAATATGACGTCAGTGGTCACTGTAGGATCTGCCACACAGGTCCATTGACTTGCGCACGCAACAATATTTTGACCTCAGGGACAGAAAGTTAAGGTCTTTCATGGACATTCGAACGTTTCCCGTTTTGTGCTCTTTCATTATACTCGCAGATTGACAGGAACTCAACTTTTTTAAATTCATCGTTTAAGTTGTGTTTTTCGTTTAACAACGCTGTCAGAGTGTGTAGCGTCAGAGAATAGCATGATTAATGAATAATAACTTGTAAGGGGTGTCTGAGGAAGATATCGCAGCCTAGTCTAAGGTTATTTGCCATTTCTCTGGAGAAACTGAGGACGGCACATAATTTCAGTTCTCGTCAAATCATATCCTTCCTAGTTTTACAATTTGCGTCCGTTTGTAACCACATTTTCGTATGCATATCTTAGTGACTGGCTACAGACTGGACGACCGGGAATCGATCCCAGACGGGGGCAGAGGATTTTTCCTCTAGCCTCTGCGTCCAGACCAGCTCTGGGGCCTACCCAGCCTCCTCTACAATGGGTACCGGGGTCCTTTCCCGGGGGTAAAGCCGGCCGGGGCGTGATGCTGACCACTCACCCCCATCTAGTGCCGAGGTCAAGGAAGAGAGGAGCTATACCTCCACTCACCCCAATCGCCTACATGGCGTATAGTGGGACAAACTTTACTTTACCTTTTATCTTACGTTTCCCAGACTTCAAAACCTTTATGTAAGAACTCAGAATAAGCGACCAGCCATCTGTTACGTGTCCCCGTACTTTCTGGTATTTTCTCTTTAACTGGCTCCCATCCCGATTTATACCTCACCTGACACACATCCATCAAGCTGAACGGCGACACACAACCCATTTCCCTTCTGTAAAGAACTTTGTCTAGTAAGCAATAGTGCGGCTGGAGCGACTGCAGAAATTATTACAAAGGCTTAACGCGTACCTCAAATGTATCCGCACCGCCATTATCACAGATTCTTTGTGGAAATAACACTCGCAGTTTTTCCCGACGAACCCGCTCTGACACTTGGCTGAAACCACCCCGAAGGGATTTGCAGATAAATGGGGCAACCTCTGTTCCATCTTTCCACAGCTGCATTGTTTGTGCAACTATTTTATCTTAAAAATATTGCATATCATTATGCTTAAAATAAAATGTTTTGACAGTGATAATGGACATTTGTAAATTCAAATAAACGTAAGAAGTTCTCATAAATCAGCCAGTTTGCTGACACGCCTTTCTGTTATTATGCATATTAGAAGACTAATTGTATATACTGTGTGTTTTTTTTTCAGCGAGACAAATCGATAATCGATTAATACGATGTGTAGTAGAGTGTGGACAGTTCTTCCACTCTTTGCTGGATGTGTTTGTCTGTGTCAAAGAGTTCAATTGCCCAAATTAAAATGCTTCATCGCGTGACACTGAGTGTAGGGCGAGGTTAAAGTATTCAGAATATGGGTCTGTGCAATAACCGGGGACCCCCGGATCCTCCATGTACATACGAGGCGTTCGGATGAAATTTACCAGTGTCTCTTTCCCCCTCTGTTCCCCCTCAACCCTCTCCTCCCCCCCCTCACCAGCCCGCTCTCACTCCCTCTCTCTCTCTCCCTCTCCTCGCCCTCTCTCTCTCTTGCGGTAAGAACTCGTCAGAATCGTACGGACCAAAGGGAATATAAAATGGAGAAAGAGAGACAAATATAAAGGACATTGGACGGCAAAAAAAATTAGGAGTTTTTCTTACCCATTCCATAATATAATTTGTTAGACGAATTAGGTATTTTGATACGAGCTTTTCGCAGAAAAAAATAAATAGTAGGTACACATCAAGTAATATATTATAAATATCCTGATACTTTGTCCTGGGTTGGCCTTTACAAGAACTTGAATGCGTCATGGCATGAATTTTCTCTCTCTATCCCCCCCCTCCCCCCGCTCTCTTTCTGAACGGACAAGTCTTTGATCACTGTACCAACCTCTCAGCGAATTTCTGCTTAGTGGCAGAAAACATTTTGCCGACACAGCCTTTAAATTTCTCCCAAAAAAGTCTCAAATGGATTAATATTTAAGCTGTTTCCTGGCCATTGTGACTGTGGGGAGGATTCATGCTTTGGCAGAATGTAAGAGCTCCGTCCTACTCGAAAATTCTGTTGTTTTTGGAAACACGCAGCATGTAACGGAATTGTGACGTTCCAAGAACTTCCACTTCAGACCACGATTTTATCAGTGTATTTCGCTTGATTTAACACAGCGATCGGTTTTTCTTCAGGTCTGCGCCGTACAGATGTTTCTCATCCATAATTTGTACTGTTGTCTCATCACAGCAGTACATTTCAAAAATCCCGAGGCTCAAGAATTTTCTGTCTTCAACACGTGACGTCATATATTTATGCTTTAGTTTTTGTGTATTTTCTATGGATTATCCGTTTGTCTTTAGTCCGTGTTTTATGGATACTTCTGAGCCCATGCGTGTATTAATTTACCATTTCCTAAAGGACGACGGAGTTTAAACCAAACTCACAAGACATTTGAGGTGTTCACGGCGGTGAGTCCGAAGATGGCTGTCTACCTTCAGGGGGTGTAGCGCAGTTTAGTCTCCATCATCAGGGCGATGAGATATTTGTTTGCCCAATTTATCTTCTTTACTCTACCAAAAATCCGAAGCTAAACCTTACATACAACTCCAACTTCGTTTGCTATTATTGTAGTATTTTTCAACATAACCCCAGATTATTTTTCCTTGGGACACATCTTTTATCCATTTTTTATCGACGGTCAGTGAAGGAATTTATAAAATAGTAAAACACATCAAATATGGCCAGAAGAACTCTTGTTTCCACCGCTAAATTGTCAGTCGCGACAACAGAACTGATTTTTTTTCACACGAAATTTTCTGAATGATTTGCAGATTGCAGCAGTAGACAAGAGAGAATGGAGAGAATGTACTAGAAGTTTAAGTCACAGAGGTGCCATCTGTTGAGGTAAACAACTAACTTGCACGAGTAACCTACCTACGTAGTTCGATGATGCTACCTTCTTATGCTAGTTTTAATAAATTGACATTTGTGTTGTGAAAAATTGAAATGCGTTGCAAAATAATATAAATTCCTAATTCGTTGGCCATTCACGGGAAATATTGTGAAAGAGAGAGAAAATCTTCGTTGAATAATAGGTGTCTAAGATATATTTTCGACATACCTGTATTTAAGACTCTGTGTATTTGGTTTTGCAGTTAATGAACAAGACCAGCGAAAGGAATAATTCAGAAATGATGTTGTCTGTTCCAGATCTTAATAATCCTACTACTTGCCCTCTTCTTACAAAACGAGTTGTTGATACAGCATCGTTAAAGATCTGGGACAAATCGCGAACCTTCTTTGTTTTCGTGTGGGCGATGGAGTCAGTTTCCCATGAAGCTGTGCGCTTTGGTGGCCTTGCACCTCACCTCTCTCTCCGCCCCTTTTTCCCACAGTGATGCCACCCTTCCCTCTATGACAAATGATGCGCTTTCTCGGGCTGTCACCCGATGGTGCTGTGGGGTTCGTTACCAGGGCTTCTCACTGACTGTACCAAGTGTGGCTCGCGTGCCTACAGCCCCAGTCATGTTATTCTCGAGCGCAGAGTATTGTTTTATGTTGTGTCGACAGAAGTTACAACCCAGTAGAATTGTTCGGGTCAACCATTTTGAATGCCGATATTTCAGAAAAAGGCATTTTTATGAAACGTTGGCCTTTGAGTTCGGACACGGCAAAATAAATTCTCTCACTCTCTCTAACACACACGTACATGGACGTTGTGCTTATTAATTTGTTAAATTATTTTGTTTTTAAGTTGTGTGCACTGACGTTGCATATACAAGGCGTATTCGGAAAGTACCGTTTGCGCATACCTCCCGCGCATCATCGAAACGATCCGTTTGCGCATGCGTATATTTTGTTGTGCACGTCTGAACGTCAGTAAGGGCGTTGTTTTTCACACGGTAAGGGCTACATCAGGAGTCATGCTGTGGGTTGAACGTACTGTGAGTCTTCTGTTTTACTTCCAGGCCAGTATCGGACGCCGAGGATCACAGAGCACCCGTCCGACATGATAGTAGCGAAGAACGAACCCGTGACCCTGAATTGCAAGGCGGAAGGCAAGCCGGAGCCGACAATTGAGTGGTTCAAAGACGGGGAACCAGTTCGCACCTCTCCCTCAGACTCCAAGTCGCATCGTGTCCTGCTGCCCGCCGGGTCTCTGTTCTTTCTCAGGGTTATGCATGGAAAGAAGGAACAAGATGGCGGGGTGTACTGGTGCGTCGCCCGAAACCAGGCCGGCCTCGCTACCAGCCGGAACGCCACCCTCCAGGTCGCCGGTGAGTACAACAACTCTGACCAAGGTCAACACCCGGACGGGTAACCGCCCTTTTGAATTCCGTGTATGAAAACAAGTAGTCGACTTTTCTTTTCATATTATTTCAGGATTTGTTCTTGGGTAATAGACTTGTTCCTTACAAAGGGAAAAAAGAGAATTTATTTGAACTGGATTTAGTTATAATTGCATGTTGTGCTGTATATTAATTCTTCGGTGTTCCATAAGAAGTGCTTTAATGAAACCTGGCCTAATTTGTATTGACTAAGTTCTCATTACTGACCATGAACGATCATTAAACCATTCATAAATCGTTTCTACTAATGCCGTAACGTAAGTCAATAACAACATTTGTTTGTGTCATTAAGAAAGATTATTTACTCGAAAAAGAAACACATAGCATTCCAAATTTTAGTCGCTGGACCTGAAATTAAGAGACCACTTAGAAAACTTGTGGCGGTTGTATTAAAATGGGTCTTGGGTCTTCGTGAAACAAGTTGTGTGGGTGTAGACTGATTTCATCTGGCCCAGGCTAGGTTTTGGCCAACTTCTTAGTCAGCGTGGGATTTGCATAAGGAGAAGAACACAATGGCAGGTTCTTTTTGTCTGTCTGCATGTTTCGTCTACATACGAAACTACTGATCGTATTTTGATATGTAGTTCATCGTGTAAACAGGCGAAACTTGTCACGCGAGTTTCGTGTTCCGCTCAGGCCCTATCTTACCGTCTTGGGTGCGGAAGCCAACCTACTTTACCATCTGCAAAGAACATCGAATAGCCAAGTAATTACAAATCACGTGGGCGGAGAAAATGGTAATAAAAATTAATCTGTGGTTGGCTTGGGAGTTCTGTAGACCGTAAATTGGATGATGAGTTCTCGGTTCTATGTTGAAATCATCGATAACAGCTTCATCTCGTTCGTCTTAACGTTCTGTTTGTTGCTGTAGTCACATCGTCGTCTTGTTAGGAGATGCGATTTCATTCTCATTACTACATACCTACTGTCCACAGACCAGGAGAAAAGCCCTGCTGGGGGAAGTAGTTTCTGGGGCGGTACAGGGGGAATGTTTACTATCAAGTGGACTAGAGGGCTCCTATTGGTGGGAAGTGTGATACGTCAGAGTTTTACGCTACTACACAGACTGAAAACATCAAGCAGTTAAGAGTAGCGTGTAGTGAGTGCACCTCTAATGTGTTCTGCGGGTGTTGCGATAATATTCTAGATTAAATCGCTGTGCCGCTGTGAGGTAATCTTAAAGCTGTACCCATTAGAACACATGAAAGCCTGTCGTCTGTTGTTCGTTCAGTGGTTGTGGAACGAATGCTTTTAGGATATGTAGTCACTCACCGCGAAATCTTGATCATGCGCGTATATCGAATTCCTAGCAGGGATTTTCGCCTGGTCTGTGGACTGTACCTATATCTCTCGCGTGACTTTAGTCTAGCAGACTGCCGAGGTATTAACTAGGTTACATCACGCCTGTCACTCAAGAAAAGTTCTGGCTGACATTGAAGTTTTGTTCTGCAACTGTCTGTGACATTTCGTTGGACCAGGAAAGATCATGAATTACAAGTTTCAAGATTTTATTTTTAGGCTGCTCGCTGTAAAATCAAGAAGCCTTTAAATGAAGGACAAAACATCATTTTGTGTGAAATACACGCCGGCCTTCTTGGCGTAACGAAAGAAAGTTATGTTGATTGCTTTTCGAAATGGCTCTTAAAGCCATGTAAGATGGGATGGCCGTGGGTCTTGGCATCAAAGATCTAGACGTAGCTGGGAGGATAATATTAAAATAGTTCTTAAAAAAACTATAATACTCTAAATTTCTGGCTGAACTGAGATGATATTAGCTTCCCATTAAGAACTCTATTAAATGACCTTAAATATTAGTGGCTGAAATTCCCTTCTCTGTTGATTCGTTCAAGCAAAAATTTTGTTTCCATCTTGTCGATATGAATAGAAAATAAGAGGGTTTCAGAGTTTAACTATCTAAACGCATCGCTTGATACGATGAACCGTCTGTAATAAATTATGTGGACATACGTATTAGTCTGCTGTGAATCAGACAGTAATGGCTCGCCAGGGAACAGCGAAGGAATGCCTGACAGGCTGACATGAAAGCATGGCTGTCATTTGAAGCAGTGGAACCACTAAGCCACAAAAGGTGACTCGCAGTGGCTTATAGCGGTAATTGATTCCTCTGGCGCTTGGCACACTTCGATTTGATGGCGACCATTTATAATAGCCATGCTTAGATTATGTTTGGTACGGTGTATTGCCAGACCTCAGTCACGCCGGTCAATTTTATGTCCGGCATTACACGCTTCAGAGTACAGGTGTCACAAGAGCACGAAGCTTTCAAAACTTGGAAGTCAGTTTGTGTTAACTCCGGTTACACCCGATCTACTTTTAAGTGACGTGGAATCTCGCGTCTTTGGGCAGAGCTGTCGTCTACAGTGCGTTTAGCCTTTTCTGATACTTGAGATACTGAAGGGAGCATCTCTAACACCTGCACGTATTTCCCCGCTTCCCTCCTCCCGCCCCTCCGCGTCATTTCATTAAGAATACGATTGCAGGACTGCGCGCTGCAGCCATGTTTCATGCCAGCTGTAATGGCTGCTTGATCTATTATATAGCTACTAATGGGCACGGGGATGTTGTTAAGGGCCATTTTGCTATATGAAGGTATTGGAAGACGCGCCCTTCCTGCATTGTTTGTCTTTGCTTGCGCGACTTACGAAATGATTGATCACTTCTCAGCACACTTTTGAGTCTTCAGCCTTTAATGGACCCGTTAATGCTAATGGAGGTTGCAGTTGGACGCGACGCGTCACTTCCTTGTCTCCACTGTCAGGTTTATTGTATAGCCAGACATTTTGTTTCTTCCAACCCGTGGTGAAGTGTTACGGACTCCTGTTCAGTGAAGGTTATTATTGAAGCTTGACACTGTTAGTGTGATTGAATTAGGGACACTTATTTGTTGGGGGGATACAAGAAAAGCAAATGCTTTAGTTGAAAACTATTATGTCAGTTTTCATTCGTTTGTGACAACAGCTTACGGATTTTCATTAGCTTTGTTAGTCATATACAGGACTTTCATTTTAAGAAGCTGCGTATACGAGAAGGAATTGGTCGCCGGGTGGATAGTATCGACCCGTAACTGAAATGTGGAGAGTTGAGGCGTTGACCTTGTGAGCAAAACGAGCTTTAAGTCACGTTTGTTCTTGTGTCAGAACGCAGTTCATTGTACTCTCCTGTCTTCAATATAGCTTCGAATGAAACAACAGTCACGTGCATCAAGCCTTAAATTTTAACGTAATGAAATAGCGGCCAAATACTAGTGGTAATGTTTTGCTCTGTGGATTGTAACGTGAGTTGAGAACGAACTTGAATCTGGCTGCAGGCGAATGCTCGCATGCTACGTTTGTGCGTGATCCCAACAGTTCATTAAATAGACCGGTGGGGAGTGTTGAAGACTTAAGACTTCAAGAGAAGTAGTTCTGTTCTGCTCGACCCACTTTTTCTGGTCTGTGACGAAATTTTTTTTTTAGAACTGGTCTCAAGAAGCAAGGCTATCCCTGGAATAGTGAAACCCAAGCGATAAGACATGTAAAATGATAGATGACTAGTGTGGAGTTTATGGAACCCTTTAATGGACAAGTTGGCTTTAACGCCAGACAAGGTGTCCATCATGCTGATGACAGCGGGTTGTGATGGCATGCTGTAATTCGTTATTGTGCTTTATTTACTGGCCTGATTGTGACATTGATGGATGGCAGTTTCGAATGTCTACTCCAAATTTGTATTCCATGTTCACGTTATGCGTAGTGATACGAGTTCAACATGAGTGTAGCAATTAAATTGTGACGCCGCGCCAAACAAGTGACACTAGAAATGCGCGGATCACAAGTGGAACTTGTGACTAAAGCTGAATGCCAGTCGAGTGGTTATTTACAATATAAGATTAATATACAAAATACTATTTTAGGAAGAATATTTTCTCAGTGACGTGTACAAATTAATTTGTCATACTATTATCGAAAATCACCATGGCTTGTGTTCCTCGGCTCGCTACCAGAAATTCGTTGGATGTAGGGCAAAGTTGTTGATAAAATGTAAAAGCCACGTGGATGTACGAATCGAACTGAAGATCCTCATGGGAGGTTCCAGTGGCGGTCTTCAGCGGTAATTGTAACTAACTCGTATAGAATGATAGACACCCTGTTTGTATTACCGATAAAACAGAAACCAAGTTTCTGACGAAGTTTTCCGGGTACTTGTGGGTTATCGGGACACATCGCCTTAAAAATAGGTTAGGTTAGGTTTGGTTAGGTTTGTTTAGGTTAGGTTAGGTTAGGTTTGTTTAGGTTAGGTTTGTTTAGGTTAGGTTAAGTTAGGTTAGTTGTCATTTATTGAAATAAAATATAATAACTTTCAAGTATATGTCATTTATTCACAAACGTTAACCTAACCTAACCTATTTTTAAAGCGATGTGTCCCGATAACCCACAAGTACCGTTTTCCGTCATGTGGGTGTGTGCAGTATGTACGGATATGCCGTTAGGTGGCATATGTGTTGCTTGTAGCTAACGCCAGGCGAGTACCAGTAGGTCCTGTCAGCCCGCATAAATCGTAAACGATAATCTCAGCGTTGTAGTGATGATTGAGTTAGCACTTATGTTTTTACAAATGCCGATTTATATAGGGCAAGGAACTATAATGTGTGATGCTATATTGTGTGTTGTGCCGTTATGTCTTTAACAAATTACTGTGTGCCACGAAACACGGCTGTAGACTACAGCGCAAAATACGTGGCCAAGGCGGAAGGCCCGTCTTCTTAAGGACAGCCCTCATGTGTTGCACAGCGTCCGGTAGATGTGCGCTGACGGTTCCGAACAGCAGTTAATGCCCGTCATCGACAGAGCTCGGCCCTGAGTACCAAGTAAGATAACAGTAAACAGTTGATTAACGCGATTGCATCACAATTTTTTATAATTTTTCGA